CTAAGTTTTGTTTCTGATGATGATCGGTCTAAAAAATAAAATGCAATGTCATGAAGTTTACTCACAATCAGTAAGAAATTATAAAAATTAAACATTTACACATATAAAAACTTACGTAGATTGAGTAGAGTTTACGACGCATTTGCACTGGTGTTCCGTCTATAATAATATTGTCCTCTGCAGGATCTAAATCCAACTTTGATCTGACTCAGATATATTTGCTATTGAGTTTGTACCAGGAAGAGAAGATTGCCTAAGAGAATTAATAAACATCAAAAAAACTATTTCTTACAAACATATAATGATAAGAAAATAGTCCTATAATGATAATAAATATAGCTTCCTCATTTTTGAACATGTTTATCACATAAATATATGATATTACTATTTTTTTAATTCGTGTTATTATCTTTATTATTGTAGAACTTTTTTTTATCTAATAGAGTTCCCAGTTCCTAGTTCTATCCAATATAAGATATGACATTGTAAAATTTTAATTAACTGTCGTAATCTTTAAGATCCTTCTGTATAGATAATGAAATAAACAACTATTATGCATTTTTATAATAATATACTAGAAATTAATAAACAACAAATGACCTAAGAACGTGAGGTGCATCTCCAAATGTAACACGTTGCTGCCCGCGCACTTTAAGAGAAGCAGATCGGGATGGTCCCCTGGGCTGGTATCTCCGCCGATATCGCCACTCGCAATCGTCTCGAGAACCGACCTAAAGAATTTAAATGTAATTCACAATTTCTTAGTCAAATATAATTAGCAAAAGTATCTTACATGATCGATTAACAAGGCAGATTTTAATGAACTGTTTATTAGCCACTACATTATTATTACATGAAGATTAAGCTACACAAGTACACTCATTGTATGATTAATTGCAAAACCATTAAAAGTAGCAATTAAAATTAATACTAACTCACCCATTCATTTGAATATTTTGTTCAATAGTTGGGTAACGACTTCTAAGAGTACTGTGTTGACCAAAACCCAACTTATCCTTGATTGCTGTTGTGCGCATACTTTGTCGACGCAGTTTCTTTATCATATCTCTGAAAATATTTGCATGGTTATTGTTGCTCAAGTATGGAGGTATAAAGTAATAAATAAAAATACCTTCGAAAATCTTTAAAAATTAAGGTTTCCAATTCATGGAGTCTTCTCATTTCATGTTCTATAGTTCCTTGAGATGCACCCAATGTTCTCAAGTCATGGATGATTTTTGCTTGTTCATTCATTTCCTTTTCTATCAATTTGGATCTTTGTTTAGCGTCGATGCTAGGGTCAAAGACAAAAGCCGGCAAACTGTCCATCCATTTGTTAGTATTTTTTGTTAATATATTTTCCTAAAAAAACAATTATATTATTAAAACAAATAAAAATGTGCAAACATTGGTTTAAAAATGTACAAATACAAAATGTACATAAGTATTGCATTTAACTATAACATTCATTTAACAAAACCATATTGATTCATAGGAAATTGCACATTTAAAAAAAGTAAGGCATTTAAGACAAAATGTTACATAAACAAGATATAATTCTCCTATATGTAAACTTTAAATCATAAAAACAATAAGAATTTTAAAGTTCCTTAAAAAAACGAACCTGTGAGGTTTTTTGGCCATCATCACTATCAGAGTCGAAAATCATTTGATCATCTTCTTCGGAACCTACAAAAATAATAAATCATAAAATTAGCTCTAGCATATATTTCTTTAAATAAAAAATTTACTTCATTCGGGGTTCTGTACTAATTAAGAAAACCTATTTGTATAAAAAAAAATAAAAATAAATAGAAATCACTCTAAAAATCTGTAAATATTATTAAAATTAGTAGGTATTTAGTCATTCATATAAAAGGAAACTCTTTTTGAATATTTGTTTCAAATATGTAAAAGTAACATCAATATTAAACAAGTATTAGATATAAAAAAAATGTAAGAAAAAGTTTAAAACTGATAAAATAATAAATCAATGTTATTATTATAACAATAAGTTAAGAATATTGTACCAATTTTGTGTAATATTTCAGTGAAAAGTTTAAAAGTAAATTGGCTGGCCTTTTCTTTGATAAAATGTTGTTTATTAGAATTAAGGTATCTGTCATAAATAATTTTTATAAGCAAACAAATTTTTTTGACTACTTTTGTCTCTTGATATAAATAAGGAATAAATTATCAACTTCCCGAAGGAGAAGTTTATGTTTTCATCAAAAAATCCGAATTGCTAATTTTATGTTTTCTCGACGTTTCAAGACATTCTGAATCGAATGAGACCAAATTTGGAAAAAGTATGTGTGTGTGTGTGTGAACAGATTGTTTGCCGTAAATCGACGTTTTCTCAAAAACGGCTGGACCGATTTCAAAAATTTAAACGCCACTCGATGTATCTCGATGAGGACTATTGTTTGTCAATTTTGTGCGACGATCGGCCAAGCCGTTTCTTTATAAATCGCAGAAAAGTGAAAAATTTTCGCCTACGTTTTAGCTTGCAATTCTGAATCGATTTTGAAAATTCAAAAACCGTTCGAAAGATATTGGTTGAGAATCATGCTGATTAGTTTTTGGTAGAGATCGGCCGTTTTCTTGTAATAAAGTTTAAAAAAAAAAAAAAAACGACGATTTTTATGATTATTTTTTTGACGGTAGATGCCATACTCTTCTAGATCATACTAAAATATTACGGCCCTACGACAACTGGTTTAGCTTTAAAAATTCGTCAAAGTTTGCAAAAATTAGTATGGTCTTTTTGGCATTTGTCAAAATTAGAACTTTCATCGACGTTTGCTCAAAAACGCCTGAACCGATTTCAGATATTTAAAAAGCATTTGATGTATCTCGATGAGGATTATCGTTTCTCAGTTTTGTGCGACGATCGGCCGAGCCGTTTCTTTGTAATTTGGAAAAAAGTGTTAAACCTTTCGTCCACATTTAAGCTCATTCTACCGAACCGATTTTAAAAAATCAAAAACTGTTCAAAAGATATTAGTTGGGAATGATACTGATTAGTTTTAGGTGAAAATCTACCGAGCCGTTTTCTTGTAATTAACTGTTGAAAAAAAAAACAGGGCGGATTTTTATGGAACTTTTTTGGCGATATATATCATGGTCTTATAGAACTTACTGAATTATTACGGCCTTACGACAAGTAGTTTAATTTTAAAAATTCATCAAAGTTTGAGAAAATGAGTAGTTTTTTTGACATTTGTTAAAATTAAAATTAGACGATTTACTTGGTATAACGATAGAGTACTTGGTCTTGAACATAGTAAACCATTAAAGTCATATAAAAACTGGTTGAATTATAATTATTGATTAATTAAAATTATTGATTTTTGAAAATTTGCTTTTAGAAAATACTTGAGTTAACGTGTTCGTTCGTTCGTTCGTTCGTTCGTTTGCAATGTAATAAGTCCACTCGGAATACTTATAATTACTCATAAATTAATTTATTTTTTATTGCTTAAGTCGATTATTTACACATATCGAGAAGTTCATGTAACTTGCCTCAAGGCTAAATACTAAACCAACAAGTTATAAATTCATATTAAAGCCAATAAAATATAAAAAATAATTAATAATTTGTGTTTACCCGTTAGCATGGTTAATGTATGCCCCAAGGCTGAAAGTTGTTTGCCAACATTAACATCTAAATGGATATCCACACCTTCCATTTGCCATTGTACATTCAAAAACCATTTTGCATTTTCTGAAAATTCAATGTGCACATAGTTATATAATAAAAATTTATACTTATCATATTTAACATATTATTTATAATATATAAAAAAAGTAATTTTAGGTTTATTAATACAATAAAGAGTTTTCAATTTTTCAAAAAAATGTTTTGCACAGAACAACATATTTAATCACAATCAATTATAAGCAACTATAATATACATAAAACAAATTATATTCAGTATTAGGAATAAAATTAAGATCAGGTTAAAGTGATCAAAATGGAAACAAATTCATATAAATGGACATTTGTAAATAATATTTGTTTTCAACTTACCTACTCCCTGTTTTGCTGCAATTGTTCTGCTGCATACTTCATATGTTCCTTCAGAAACAACACAAAGATTCATTATATTACTATCATTCATATCAGGCTTCCAGTCATCTAAAGATGCTTCAAAATCATCAGTAAATCGTAAACATAAACCAACAAATTTTCCTTTGCTCACTAATGAGCCTGAACTGCAAGCTAAAAAAATAGAAGTATAGTCATTCTCTAATATTCATTCACCTTTGCATACTAAATCTATTCCAAACTCAACAAAGAACAAATATAATTACTCAACAAATATCGGAAATATATATAACATCATTTAAAATATAAATCTTATACCTGAAATACTAGTATTCTCTAATGTAACAACCACAGCCCCTTTAGAATCATAATCATATATTCCTCTATTTGTCCAAGAAGACTATAAGTAAAATATTAAATTAAGTGAAAAATGTATACAAACATTATAAAATCATTTCACATATCATACCAAAGGTAGTGGATTTAAAGGCAAACAAATTCCCATGTCTTCAACTGTTAATTGCAGAAACAAAGTTCCAAGATGTGGTGCACTCAATTGCCCAAACTGTACTTTTTCTAAAACCTAGTATTTGAAAAATTATAGAAATAATAGATCAACTGATAGTAGATCTATACACCCCACATATACAATCTAAAGTAATATGTTAATAAAAAAAAAAAAATAAGTTTACCTGTTGAGTAGCAGTCAAAACTTCTTTATTTAAATTTGCACGATTTTCATTCCAATACTCATAAGCATTTTTATAATTCAGCCAGACTAATATTGCTCTATCTACAGCCATGGGTTGAATATAAATTAATGGTCTCTTTAATGTTATGAGCACAACCTCCATATCTTCTCGAGCCATTTCATCTTGAAATGCATTACGCAAGCCTAAAAAAATAAGTGGTTAAAAATATTGTTTTAAGAATTTTTATTTTTATAGAAATTTATATTACCAATTCTAGTATTAAAAAATGCAAACTGTTGAAATTCCGGTTCAGCTTCATCAAAAATAACATTACGATGTAGTTGACCAAGGCTTAAGTTCACATCCACCTAATATTGATTTCAAAAATTGTTTACTAAAAGTGTTTGCTTTTAATAAAATAAATTAAATAAACTTTTGTTTGAATTCAATATTATAAAAAACTCAAATTTATCCAAAAGTTTCTTTAAAATATTTGGTTGCAGAACAAGTTTCTTGTAGAAATAGTAAAATATTTGTAACATACTTGCCAACATCTATAAGGTAATTAAATTCATTACAGATGAATGAAAGATCCAAGTTACCTGTGCTTTCCCAAATAGTTTAAGAGCAGAAGATGAACGAGTACTGTCTGAAACAGAAACATTGCGTACTCGATTCGATAACTGAAAATCGACTGCTCCAGTTTCAAGGCGTACTGCGGAATTAGTGGGCGTAGTTGCGGTTAATTGAACCCTCTGGAATAAATAATAATTATAAACCTTTTAACTCAAGAAAAATATGCATATTTGTATAAGTGCCAAGTTGCACAAAATTTATTAATATTGCTTACTTTTATACGAATTATAAGAGAAAATAAAATTTGTTTAACAGTTGTTGTACTAGCTTCATCATGATCTTCGAGCCATAATGGAACAGGTTTCTCACCGCCATAAACCTTTTGAACAACTTCATTGACTTCCTGTAAATAAAATTAGTACCATTTATAGTAGATCTTTCATATATAAATTGAAAACTGCGTTTTTATTTACCTTCATAAAAACTTTCTGAACAAAAACTAAATGATTGAGCATATCTGTTGTAAGACTGTGCTCAAAAGCTCCAATATCAGCAGTAGCATTCAAATAACTTCCTTGGCAAAGTATTAAACCATCAATATTCCGAGTCTCTTCTCTAAAAAGTACAAGTTTTGTAAGCATATAATGACCAAAAAAATTTTCAACATAATCTCTATCTGCTAATAAAAAACTTATATTATTAAAAAAAAATAGTAACAATATACCTGAAAGATTCTTTATTAGATGCTTCTTGATGATCACTTTCTAAAATATATTCAGCCCCAACATGAACTTTTGGTAGTGATATACTTGCTTCTGAAGGTAAATTGGCTTCGGATGCCTAAATAATTATTGTAGTAAATAGAAAATTAAATAATAAATTGAAAGTAGCAATATTAAAAATTATAATATAGCCAAAATAAATAGAAAACTTCAAAATTATAAATGTGTATTCTATTTTGAAAAGTTCAATTTATATTTGTATACAAAATTTTAATTTCAATAAACACCTGTATTTTAGTATTAAAACTTAGACTGTGTTGTGGTAAATCTATAGTAAATTTGGCTTTGCTCCCTGTAACTCCTGTACTCTGCACTTTATCCATTTTATACTGAGCTTGTAACGATGGCAAGAGTGCTGCAGTAATACTTAAACTCTAAAAGAACACCACAGATTATAACACTAGATAAGATTAAATATGATATGTGATATAACACATAAAATATTAACCTGTATATTTATATTTTTTAAATAATGTTCACGCAAGAATGTGTATATCAAAAATAGTTTTCATTGCTCCATGAAAATTTTTAATAATCAATGAAAAGTAAACACAAACATTTAAGACATGAAAATTGTAATCAAATATACATTTTTTACATATTAACAATAGTTGCATTATTGAAACATTATTTTCCATTGAAAATTCTTAAATTCTATTAAAAAAATCTTTAATTCTGTAGAAATGTATTAAGTAAACATAAAAAAAACAGAATAGATGTGCTCAAAAAATCCTACCTCCAAATTAATGAGAAACTGCATTACAAGAGGTTGAAGCAATCCCGAAGTTGCTGCAGTTGTGCCAGGTGTTTTACTCCTTTCACGTGGCTTTTTCGTGTGAGCGGTATCGTTGGGTTGCATTGGTGATTGTTTCCCCGTTTGTTGAACCCCACTGCTAGATTCGATGTCTTCTGTATGATAAACGCCTCCACTTCGAGATATTCGGCCACTCGTACGTACTACACGTAACTCCTAGATAATTAAGAAAAAGCAATTTTCCTTCATTAGTAGAGAAAGTTTTCAACAGTTTCATCAATGATATATATTTAATTAGCTAACTTAAAAGCAATATAACATTTCTTCAACAAAAATAGTAGCCGATCCACAGTGAAACAAATTTATTTACAACACAAAATTCAGCCAAATACGGAAAAAAGTTCATATTGTCACTGTAATACATATTCTTGAATTATAAATATAAAATTTTCAATGTACAATTTATAATTAAATTTGGTAATGAATTAAAATGTTAGAATAACATTGGCGTTTTTCAAAAAATTTGATATAAATACAATTTTAAGCCCTGCATTACAATGTTCAATATCAAATTACAGTGCTCTAGATAAATTATCATTCACTAAGAATGTAAAGAAAAAATTCAGATTTTTATTATAATCTTTGACTCGATTTTTATTCAAACTATTTACCTGCAAAGTTGATGATAGTTGTTTTGAACCTCTAGTCATCATGCCATGCAGTGCAACAGGATGTTGGGGAATGTCAATATTTACAGCTCCTACAGTCAGTAGTCCAGAGTTTTTATTTTTATTTTTTCTTGATATACTAGAATATAATGTCTGCGATTTTCCAACAGTCACTTTCACTACAGTTCTAAAACAAAAAACATTGAAGTTATATACATTTAATGTGTTTAGTTAAACTACTGTTAGTTTCATCAAATTATAATAAAGCAAGTTTTAAAACAGTGAATCACAATAACAATTTATATTATTTTGCTTCATATTTAAACCTCTCCAAGTAAAAAAATTCAAATACTGACTGTTGATTTGGAGCTACGCCTTCCAATAGTACTATCATAGTTTTTCCAACTTGCCCTGTTAATGAGCATTCTAGTCTAGCAGTGTGCAATCGCTTTTTACATGTAAGGCTACTCTGAAGACTGGTAATTTCTGCTTCCAACTTCAGATAAAGATTATATTTTAAATAAATTTTAATTATATAAAAAAAATCCATGTAGTATTACCTTCAGCCCACTTAATGTTGCCAATAATCGAGTCCTATGTATTCTGGCTATTCCAAATACTACCCACCTAGCTCGCTCATTACCAAAAATGCCTTTAAAATAAATTGTAATTAAGAAAATAGAATATAATGTAATAATTCATAATATTGAATTGAAACCTTTAATTGAAAGAATTATTTCATTAATAACTTATTATATATTTATTTTAGATAAAAATAACTTTAATAATTAATAAGTCATAATTGCAATAATTTTTGAAAATAATGTTGGTATTGACATATAAAATTCTAATTAAATAAAATTTAAAACATTTTGAAAAGTTACACTCAAAATAACTGAAAACTGAAAATATTATTTCGATAATAGGTAGCTTCCAATGTTCATTTCAAAATTATTTATAACTATGAATTTCATTACAATGATTCTGTTAAATAGATATCTGATAATCAATATAATGCACAACCAAATCATATTGGATTTGTAATTATATCGATAGTGAAAGATTAAAAGCCTGCATGAAAATATGTTTCACATCAAGTATATGCAAACATTTATATTTTTCGAATACGTTTTCATAAATAAATTAATTAATTGTATAGTTCTAATTTACTGAATAGATTTTACCTAAATCTCGGTTTGTTTGGATTGGTGTTGAACTTGTTTGATCTCCTGGTGCTATATCATCTTGAGACTTTGCTTCAGATACTAGATTAAATTTTCGAACATTTTTATAATGTTCTGATATATCCGGAGCCACAGAAAATCTGTTGAATATAACTAATTTAATTTGTACACCATGTGCATGATATTCTAATTAATTACCTGTGAGGAATTGTTTTAGTGTCAGGTTGAGTTGCATAAAGATCTAACAAATAATAAACTGTTTTCCAGCAATTTGTTGATGAGATACCATTGGCAATTCCTGATTTTTGCTGTCCTTTTTCAGATATAACTGTTATTCTTTCAACAGCAGAATTCGAAAATGAATCATTTCTTATCTCGGTTGGCGACGTTGTTCCTAACAAATATAAAACATCTCAATACTGTTGATATATAGATAAATAGATAGATTATTGTATATATATATATATATATATATATATTATATATATATATATATTAGGGTGGTCCTTAAAATGGTCATTTTCGAATTTCCTTGCTCCCAGGGGCTCAAATGGTTCCAAATAGATAAAAAACAATTCTCTGAAAGTTTTAGCTCTTAATATTAACGTTTAGATAGAGCGCAATTCAATCAAAGTTTGTATGGAAAGAGCATGGAAAAATTTTTGAAAGTTAAAAAAAAATGTTTTAGGTAAAACTTAGCGACAAATGAATGAGTTTTATTCATTCATTTGTTCGCTAAATTACATCTAAAAAACATTTTTAAAATTTTTGAAAATTTTTCCATGCTATTTCCATACAAAACTTTGATTGAATTGCGCTCTATCTAAACGTTAATATTAAGAGCTACAACTTTCAGAGAATTGTTTTTTATCGATTTGGAACCATTTGAGCCCCTGGGAGCAAGGAAATTCGAAAATGACCATTCTAAGGACCACCCTAATATATATATATATATATATATATATAATAAATAATAGGATGTTGATTGTGAGGGTGACTATATTGGTATTAAATAAAAATATTTTTTTTGTATTGTACACACACATACATCCATTTTTCCTTTGAAATGTAAATTATGCAAAAATTTTCATTTTTTGATTACCCTATGAGAGTTAATAATTTCAATATAAAACGATAATTAAAAATATTATTAAATATATTAGTAATTTAAGCATTAATATATATATATATATATATATATATATTAGGGTGGTCCTTAAAATGGTCATTTTCGAATTTCCTTGCTCCCAGGGGCTCAAATGGTTTCAAATTGATAAAAAACAATTCTCTGAAAGTTTTAGCTCTTAATATTAACGTTTAGATAGAGCGCAATTCAATCAAAATTTTGTATGGAAATAGCATGAAAAAATTTTCAAAAATTTTAAAAATGTTTTTTAGATGTAATTTAGCAAACAAATGAATGAATAATACTCATTCATTTGTCGCTAAGTTATATCTAAAACATTTTTTTTTTTTTAATTTTCAAAATTTTTTCCATGCTCTTTCCATACAAACTTTGATTGAATTGCGCTCTATCTAAACGTTAATATTAAGAGCTAAAATTTTCAGAGAATTGTTTTTTATCAATTTGGAACCATTTGAGCCCCTGGGAGCAAAGAAATTCAAAAATGAGCAGTTTAAGGACCACCCTAATATATATATATATATATATATATATATATATATATATATATATAGAGAGAGAGAGAGAGAGTGGATAAATAGATATTAATTTGGAAATATGAACAAACAACACTCTTTTTTGCACTAATTTATTAAATAATAATTTTCACAAACGTTTTGAGACTAGGTTTGTCTCATCATCAGTGTGTTATAATTTAAAATTTAAAATATGAAAACCTAAATTAGCATTATGTGTTACCCGTTACAAGTCGTTCAATATACTCAAAAAAAGTGCAAAAAAGATTGTTGTTTGTTCATATTTCCAAATTAATATCTATTTATCCACTCAGAATACATTTGTTATATATATATATATATATATATATATATATATATATATTAGGGCGGGTCGATTTGTATGGGTAAATAAGTCACATAGGCACATATGATTTTCGTATACTAGGGATCAAAATAAGATACTTCGCCGAGAAACCATATCTCTACAATGAATTCTGATGTCCCGTGCATTCACCCAAAGATTGGGTCAAATTTTAAAAAATCCTGTTTTGGCTCGTTTAGAGCGCCTCAATAATGTCCAAATGTATGACCGACATCCAGTAACTTTGGAAGGCCGATCTACCCATGCCTATGGTTCACCCCCTGGAACCTCCCTTTAGAGGTCCCCCATACAAAAGTTGCATCATTTTGGGTACTTCAACATGACAAAAATCGGTGATTTATTTTTATTATAAAATTTATTTGATCATAAGATATGTAAATAAAACTATGTAAAACTCATAAACTATTGTTTGAAGTCCTTTTTTGTTTCAAGTCTAGAAAATTTTGCACGGCTCTCTAATATCGTCGCCGTAACAGCCTCTAGGCTAGCATAGAAGCGCAGAGACAAAATGCATTGGAAAAATTGAAACAAAGAAGAATTTTAATAATTTTTTTATAAAAAAGTTTTTTGTGTGTGTTTGAAATAATATCTGAAAAAAAATGCTTAAATTAAAACATTTTTTGCTGAGTAAAATACCAAAAACAATGATTTTTTGCAATATTTGTATAGGAGTGAACTCCCCTCTAAGGGGAGGTCCCAGGGGGTGAACCCATAGGCATGGGTGAATTGGGCTTCCAAAGTTAGTTGGTTATACATTTGGACGCGGTTGGAACACTCTAAATGAATTAAAACGGAATTTTTCAAAATTCAATACCTATCTTTGGGTCAATGCACGGGGCATCAGAATTCATTTTAGAGGTATGGTTTCTTCAGCAAAGTATGTTATTTTGATCCTTAGTATCCGAAAATTATATGTGCCTAAGCGACTTTTAAATCGACCCTCCTTAATATACATATATATATATATATATATATATATATATATATATATATATATATATGTACAGTTTTTACCAGAATTTGACTGACGACAAAATTAGCCTTTACAGCCGTATTTGATAAAATATCTAGAAAAATAATCTGTTGTTGAGAAATGCTTGGCGGGCCGCGGGTTGCTCATGATTGCTCTACAAAATATTTACACACATATATATATATATATATATATATATATATATATATATATAAGTATATATAAGTAATATATATATGTAAATATTCAAGTTAATATTATAAGTTTAAGTTAATATTATAAGTAATATATATATGTAAATATTTTGTAGAGCAATCATGAGCAACCCGCGGCCCGCCAAGCATTTCTCAACAACAGATTATTTTTCTAGATATTTTATCAAATACGGCTGTAAAGACTAATTTTGTCGTCAGTCAAATTCTGGTAAAAACTATTGTTCGAAGATACAAAAGCATTTCCTGATAAAATAAATATTAATTAATTTATTAATTTATATAAATATTAACAAGCTTCAATATTGCAAGAAAAATTGAGAACTTGTCCGAGAACGTAGCAACAAAGCATTTCTAAATTCAAAATAATTAAAAAAGTGAATCTTATAAAGTCGCGAGGGTTAAATCATCGTAAATTTAAAAACTTCCTGGCTATTTAGATCATGAATATGTCGATTTTCAATACTAAAATACGTTAGCTCAATAGTGATGTTATGCTTAAAGGAGTATACGACTCAAATGGTGAATTACAATTGTTTTTGGATATGAAATAATAATTATAGTCCTTTAGGCATTTTGGCAATAAAGAATAATATCTTTTGCAGAATCTTGTGTTTCACTTTTCATATTCAAAAAAAGAAAATGTGAACAGATTTTAATTGTGACTCCAAATGTACAAAGCTAACAAGACAGCTGTTTTCATGTAAATGTTTTCTTCGCCATTTAACATGCAGAATAATATAGATATAAAAAATGCATTTTCAGTAAACTTCGAATTTTTTTGTTAATCTTATGTCAGCCCTGAGTAATTTTCGCTTTTGAAAAAAAAAAAACGCAAATCAAATTATGATAAATTCTTTTTTTGGAAGTACGTATGCGCGAACAATTACACAGGTCCACAAAAGAAAAGTTGCTGGATAATAATTAATTCATTCAGAAAAAAAATCTAGATTGAAGATTATTCCAGTTTCTAAATGTTTTTCAATATTTTGTGCTCCAATTTTGACTATAGATTCATCTTCAGCGGTGAAAGGTACATTGGAAATCATATGTGGACCTGTGTTAATTTCAACCATAAAATTAATAAAAAAAATCACCACCTATCAAAGCTGAATAAAACATATCAAAGCTGCATACGCATTGCTACTTTCTGCATTAAAAAAATTAAAATAAAGAACAAAATCTAAAAAAAAGGCTGATATTGATCAGCTTATATAAAAAAAGCAGTGCCAAATTTTTTATTAAAGTTTTCAAGTAAAATTGTTTTTCTAAATATTATTTGTTTTCATTTTGTATTAATATTTATAAACACTTATAATATACACTCGCAATTATATAGAATATATACCTTGTCCAATTTTATATTTTTGTTCTTTTCTTGTGGCAATTTTGTAATTTTGTTGCAATTACATCATTCCCGCGCTCAAATAATAAATCTTTTGACCTAATTTTAGATCAGACTTTTATCTGAGTTTATGAAAAAGCTTCAATTTTATTAAAAAAAAGCAATTCATTTTTATCATGGCTTGTACGGCCGTAAAATTTTTTTTAAATTTTGTTCTTTATTTTAATTTTATTATGCGAAATGGAAAACTATACACAACTCAAAATTTTTATTATTTTATAATAGTCACTTTGGTAGTCCTATCATTTTTTACATAGCTCGGTAATCGATCAATGAACTATTATCGCCTTTTTTGTGAACGTTTTTAATTGAAATTCGATCAAGATTTCTCTGAGCTTATAAAAAAATCTTAAATTTATTCGCTCTATCCGTTATCTTCGATAAAACTAACTGATTTGCAGGCTTATCCTATTGTACAAATATTTCTCTATATGCATAAGAAGAAGTTCTTGAATGTCTCATAAAAAGAGCTGTTTTAGCATTAGAAATTTAATTTTAAAATCAAAAAAAAATTTGAAAATTTAAATTGGACCGTGTGTTAAAAAGGTTGCTCGCCCTTGTAGAGCTTCGAACAAAGAATCCAAATGTAATAAAAAACAAAAAAGTTTATATATATATATATATATATATATATATATAAATATATATATATATATATAAGTAATAATAATATATAAGTAATAACTTGATATAGTTACTTTACCAATCCACATATATTATAATTACCTAGATATACTAATTTTCATACTGTTTTTAGATCCACTGATGATGACATTAAATTGAATGTCGAAACGTTTGGAAATAAAGATTATTTTATAAATCTTTGGCTTTTCTTTGTTTGATGTATCGCCCTCAAGAACTCACTCATATATTTCAACATCAAAATTAACTACTAAATCATAAGTAATAATATATAAATAATATATAAGTCTATATTATCTTCCTCCTATATCATATAAAATCTTTTAGTTTTTCCATTGAATGACAGTCTCGATGAAGACCGAAATGTATGGATAAATGAAGTATTTCAAAACTACTTTAGTTTTTATTTTTACTTGGTGTTACGGCTCGATTCTAAATAACTCATCAAAATATATATATATATATATATATATATATATATATATATATTATACACATTAAATGCTGTATACAAAAAATTGTACCTTCATTTAAATTGGTATATCCGAGTTTTCCTTTTACTGTTTTACTAGTAGATCTTAATTTCTGTGCCAAACTCTGCGGTCGTATTCGGAAGCTAGGAGATTGAGAAGTTGGGGGTTGTGAAGTAAAAGAACAAACCTTTTGAGCACTAACCGAGTGAGATATCACAATATCAGAAACTTGACTATTAAAACTTGATACAGGAGCGTCAAGCATTATAGATTTATCTAAAGATCCGATTAACGTATGGGAAGACAAATGATCATTATTTGCAGACACTAAAAATATAAAGATAAACATACTTTTAAACAATATTATAATAAAAATACATTTCTTCACTACAAAATTCACATATTAAGTATTAAATTATAAATTTTAACGAACTATTAGGGCAATATTTCGAAAATTACACACCTTTTATTTTCAATATTTAATTCATTATAAAAAAATTCACAAAAACAACATAAGTTACCTAATGAAGAGGCCTCTCTGGGTTGTGCAAAGATATCTTCAGATATGCCATTTTCAGTTGGCATTTTCATATCAGCATGCTGTTCTCTTAATTCATTTTGAGTATTTTTAACATTTTGATACATATTGCTTATTTGATGAAGTAAACGAAGAAGGGGCATATTTATCTAAAAATATGTATTTTCATATACAGTTTATAAATTATATATTATACAGTAAAGTCTGTGTACAAGGACATTGAAGGCATTAAAAATATGCAATTATTTATAACGTTTAAATTTAATTTATAACACTTTAAAAATTATTTTTAGGAATGTAAACATTTTTCATAAAAATAAGTTTAATAAGCAAAGCAAAGTTTTTTAGTGTCTTATATTTAACTAATAAGTAAGTAATAAATAAATCAAATTTATCTGTATCAACACTAAAAAATAAAAACACGCTATAAAAAGTGCGTAACGGCACCCATTTTTAAAAATATCAAATAATTTTCGTAATTGAAATACTATCTATAATCTCATAATATTTAGGAAGTTTGATTTCACCACGCAAAGCTCCATCACAATTCCAGATGAGTAAACCTGAGATCCTTGTAAGATAAGCAAATAAGTTTGAACATAATAAAATATTTCTGGGTACTATTATATATAATTACGTGTTCAACAGTACTTATACTTTTTAAATTATAAATGATTTAGAAAAAATATATATATAATATTGTATTAAATTAGTTGAGTTAAAAAATATTATCAATATATAATTAGCTAAATATTATTTTAAATCTTTCATCAAATCATTTAATTGAATATCAAAAAAATCTAAAAAAACTACCATATTTGCAATACTTTTAAAGGCAAACATTACAATAAGTGTACATAATAGTGCTTTATTAGCACCCATTGCAATGTTTATATATAATCACTTTGATTTCACATTGAGCTCTTAAACTTATTAATTTTGTTTTTCAATTATTGGTTGCCATTTTTCGTACTTTATATAGAAGTTAAATAGTTCATAAATGTTTGATCGATGGCAACTTTAAAGTTGAAGAAAATTAAACTATTTAAATTATGAAAATTTAAATAATGATTACAAACCTGTTGCGAAATATAATTAATATTCAAACTAAAATTCAATATTGTTGAGGTATGTTTTCGTAACTGTCCTCTAGACAAGTATAAGACACTCTGTCTTCGAACTGCTTCGTCTATGGAAACATCAGCTACTTTATTTAATTCCAACTGTACACCCATTTTTTCACAAACAAAAGCTGGCGTTTCTGGTGAAATTTTTAGTATAAATTTGTGTCCTAGAAGATAATTAGCAAAACATTCATAATAATTTCAGCATAGCAAATTATGCAAAACATATCATACCTTTTGATTTTGTATTAAACTTGGATTTTTTCTTGTCAGTTTTGCTTTCACTAACTACAATATCTATTCTCAACATATCTATACTTCCAATAAGTGATAATTTTGTCCCAAGTGCATCCAAGGATGATAAATTATCTGAATAGGTTAAATATTAGTTTGCTTTACCTTTTTTACCAGCCAAACCTATCAAAACATATTTTAAAATAATTATCTATATTTTATAACAGTTTACCTTCACTAATGTTAGGCAGCATTTTCTGTGGCATCACTCCTAAACAAGTTAGCAGTGGTTCAAATATTAGGTGTGCATCCAGAAGTTTTAATGAATCATGAATTGGATACATATTGACCCCACTAGCAGCCATATTATCAATCAGAGGTTCGCGTACGCGACCGGTTTTAGCCATCTATATTGGGATATAATTATTTAATCAGTTTCCTAATAAAAAAAACTTAATTTTAAATTTCTTAATAATATGTGCAACTTTACCAAGTCTTTAAATTTATTATCATAATCTTCTTTTGTATCTTGTTTTGCCATCCAACTATAAAGATCTTCTCCAAACCTCGTTGCAGATATTGAGGCACTTCTTTCATTGCTCACTACAGGACTTGTGCAAGGGTTATTACCACTTTCACCTGAAGAGCAGACGCTTCCTACAGAACCATGTTGTTCTTCTCGCAGTGTCCCATATCCTATAATATAAATATTCAACCAATTCAAAATCATGCTAAAAAAATCTTATGAGTGAATGAATGCTATATTCTAATATGAATCAGCGAGATAGGACAATAGTTTTCTCAAATAATAAATTACAATGAAATCTCTGTCTCTCTGTATATATATCCAAAGTAATTTCAATTTTAACTCACCAGTTCCTGATTTTAGACTTGGCGACGTTAGTACTCGATCAGTAACACCCTCTTTGCATATGTTTGGTTTAATGAAATCTGCAGATATGTTTACTGGCACTCCATTCATTGGTTGCAATGGTTCATTTAGTTCTTTCATTACTATAAAAAGTTTGAATTGTAGAAATATAAGTTCAAAAAATTATATATATATATATATATATATATATATATATATATACATATATGTAAAATTTCTATGATTTAAAAATAATATAAATGGTGTTACCATATTTAGATTTATTATTATTGAGTAAAGTAGCACATTCATCTGTCATTTCTGTACCTTCGACTTCAGTCTCATCAACGAACAAATTTTCCTGAAATTTAGCATGTAAATTTCTATTTATGATAATTGCAATTTTTTTATATATGGGCACAAAAGTAAATTTTAACTATTAATATTGCTACAAAATTACTTGTTTTAAAATCAAAGCATTATCATTTTCAAAGTAAATAAAGAAAATAATAATAAATACTTTGTATCAAATAGTTACCTCATCAGTCTCAGGCATAGAGATTGTAATATTAATAGGTCGTACTAATTTAGTTTTATATTTATGTTCAAGTAGTAATGGAGTATATAAAACATTTTTCCACTGTCGACTTAATACAATCACGCCCTAAAATTTGAAAAATTTAAATAGATTACATATTTTATTGATGAACAACAATATTTTCTCTATGTAAATTAGTGCGCATATATTACATACTTCTCTGAGTGTAGACAGCAAAGGTAATTCTGATTCTCTCAGATTGTTTTCAACAGCTTTAACTTCGCCAAGAAGCACATATTTTTGCAAAACACAGCACAACTGACAAGACGGATCTTCTTGCAAAGTTTTTGCAAGTGGTGTTAGTTTACCATATCGGCTCTAAATTAAAAAAATAAATGAATTTGTGAGGCACCAATCTTTTAATCAAATGGAAAATGAAATAAATATATAAACATGAAATATATATATATATATATATATATATAAACCTATTAACTATGAACAATATTTTATATTATTTTTATTTAATATTATTATAATACCAATCGATATCTTCTAATAAAATAAAATTGATTGTGATGATGTACTGGAAAAGGCCTGTGTGAAATGGAGCGAATCTGCAATGGAAGCAAGGATAGGTCAGGAATTAGGAAGAGTAGGTTATAATATAGTAATTCAGAAATATATCATAAATAAAACAACTAAAACTTCAAATAGAATTAGCTAAAAAATAATATATTACATATTTAAATAGTGATAATTTTTTCAGTTCATACACATATTACCAAATAGTAATATTCATAAGTAATACCAAAAGAATTAAGTAATCAGAGCATCAATTTAACACAACAGTTACTTCCAATAACACTTTAATTATTACCATTAATTAGCTTTGTAATAATTGTATGGATGTCTGAAATTGCTTATATATGAAATGTTAAATATGAGCAATACAACACTCAGATTTTTAAGACACACTTTAATTAATAATTACAGACGTTTCGAGACCATGGCATGCCCCATCTTCAGTATAATTTCAAAAACAGTTACTTATATACTACACATTCTTTAATATTTTATTTAAATTACATTTAATTTTTAATAAACAAAAAACACCAACTATTCCTTGCAATGCTTGACTCTTTACTAAAAAAAAGGTTGTTTTTGAAATTACACTGAAGATGAGGCATACCATGGTCTCGAAACGCCTGTAATTATTAGATAAAGTGTGTGTTAAAAATCTGAGTGTTGTATTGTTCATATTTAACATTTAATATTCGTTCCACTCATATCACAAAATTTTATGACATATATATATATAATATATATATATATATATATATATATATATATAAATGTGTGTGTGTACCTTAACGGGAATATGTATAGAAGGAACATCAAGAGCATCAGCCATGAGACAAACTACTACAGCAGTTCTGCGTCTATACATAGATTTGCACATAGTCATTGTTTTTATAAAAAATCTATTACTTGGATTCATCCAGGCATTGATAGCTGAAGAAGCAGTACTTAGAAGATTCCAATCCAATCTAAAAACATGTTGTGTAAAATACAAAACAATAATAATAATATTATATAAGAACTAAGTAGTATTTACCTAGTAAAGTCTAGCTTTCTAGTAATAGGTGCTCTGGGTGGTGCAGCAAAGTTAAACCATACCGTCTTGAATTCAATCACACATGATGAAGTTTTTCCATTGTCATCTATCAAATGTATGAAAATAAAATTCGATTACAAAAAAGTAAAACTATAATTTTTTATGTAGAAGTATTCATTTTTATGTAGAAGTTTTCATTTGTGGATTTTATAATACAATTATAGATATTTATGTTATAATTCAGATATATATGTTTCATTATTTCAATAATTTTGATGTTGAAATATGTGAGATTAAATCTTCAAGGCAATACACCAAATACAAATCAGAGAAATTTATAAAATCTTCATTATTTCCATATGTTTATTATTTCATATATTATCGTATGTCATCTTTAGTGGACTACAAATTGAAAGAAACAGAATATAAAATAACTAAACAATGTGACAATAAAACATAAATAAATAGTAATATAGTGTAAAGACTTACATGGAAATTGGAATGTTCCTAATTATTCAACGATAATAATAATTCACAATAGCATTACTAAACCATTTTTTGTCAGGAAAAAAAAAACGATTTTAAGATGTAAGTCTTTACACCATATTACTTCTGTATATATTTGTTTTATTGTTGTTTTATGTTTTATTTCATGGTTTAGTTATTTTATAATCTGTTTCTTTCAATTTGCAGTCCACTGAATACGTAAGATAATATATTGAAATGTGTGAAAATAATAAAGATTTTATAATAAATAAGAGATACAATCCTGAAGATTTATTCTGACATATTTCAAAATTAAAATTATTAAAATAATCTTTGTGTGTAATATACCATCATAATAGTGATACCTTTTAATACAGTACTATTTTGATTATTAGGTATTTCAAATCCAATACTATTCATAGTGTTCTTCCTGTAACTTGTTGGAGTAGGAGCCGTGCTTAATTGGCCATTGTGATAAGACTTCTGTTCAGGCATTGGAGTGCTACTTGAAATGTTCTCTAACTTAGTATTATCAGTACTCTGTTTTGAGTGTACTGAATCATCATAAAATACTTCACTTTCCCTGCTTTTATTACCGTTTTGACCATTTTCATTATTGTCACGCTGGGATCGTTTCACAATCTGAAAAAATAAATATTGTACACAATATATATATAAAACTAAATGCAAATTAACGTGCAAAGTAAAATATCCCCTGAGGATGCATTTTCATTTAAATAAAAAAAAATAAAAGTGAACAAAAATAATGGTAAAAATATAGTCAACATAGTCAACAAAGTTTAGTGTCAATACTTTCAGTGGATATATCTTGCATGCACTAAATGACACATAATAAATTAAAATATACTATTCTTTTTGAAATGTAGAATATTACATAGATTTAAAAATATCCATATACTATTATAATAAAGTAACATATACCTTAATAGAAACACCTTCCAAACCACATTCAAACATTATAAACCCCATTGAATTGTCCAATAAGTTACCATTAGAACTTCCAATGTCAGTGGCAAATGTTTTCAACTACAATATAAAAAAAACTTTTAAATAAAAGTACAGAACAATATAAAAAAGACATATTTACAGGAGTATTTTCAGCTTGATTCATTTGCTGATAGAACACTGATGAAGGAACAGCAGATGATATCCTCACGCATGTGAATAAAACGCGAGAGCAATGTGAAGGAATTGACGTAATAATCGCATCCTTTAAAATCGAACTCTCATTCCGTAAACGTCTAAGCTGTGTATGTATTCTTCCTGGAAAACAATTTATTAAAAGTTGTAGAAACTATGATGTGCAAAAAAAAAACAACAAATTTACCAATAAAGAAATCAAATAAAGCAAATGTATTCTGAAGATCCAAATTTAACTATATATATATATATATATATATATATATATATATATATATATATATATATATATATATATATATAGAACCAAACAATAAAAAAACGAAGTGCAATCCACATGTTTCAGCTATACTCCTATATCGATATTAAAAATAAAAGCAACATTTATGCATGATATAAAGTTATAATATACTAAACTATGTAATAAAAGTATTACAATTGTTTTATCAATATAGACATAAAAATAAACTAGTTGGCATTGGTATTTTGCCTTGAGGCAAGTTACATGAACTTCCCGAAATGTATAAATAATTGATTTAATTAATAAAAAAATAAATTAACTTATGAGAAACATAACATCATACACAGTTACATAATGAGTTACATATGAGTGACATAACAAACATGTTAACTCGGAGTATTTTCTAAAAGCAAATTTTCAAAAATCAAGAATTTTTATAATTGAACCAGTTTCCGTAGGGCTTTAATGATTTAGTATGTTCATTAAAACCAAGTACTCTATTGTTATACCAAGTAAATAGTGTAATTTTAATTTTAACAAACGTCAAAAAACTACTCATTTTCTCAAACTTTGATGAATTTTTAAAATTAAACTACTTGTCGTAAGGCCGTAATATTTCAGTAAGTTCTATGATATATAACACCAAAAAAAAGTTCCATAAAATTCGGCTTTTTCAACAGTTAATTACAAGAAAACGGTTCGGTAGATTTTCACCTAAAACTAATCAGTATTATTCCCAACTAATATCTTTCGAACAGTTTTTGATTTTTTAAAATCGATTCGGTAGTATGAGCTTAAATGTGGACGAAAGGTTTACCACTTTTTTCCAAATTACAAAGAAACGGCTTGGCAGTTCGTCGCACAAAACTGATGAACGATAGTGCTCATTGAGATACATCGAATGGCTTTTAAATTTCTGAAATCGGTTCAGGTGTTTTTGAGAAAACGTCGATCAAAGGTCTAATTTTGACAAATGCCAAAAAAATGATACTAATTTTTGCAAACTTTGACGAATTTTAAAAATTAAACGACTTGTCGTAGAGCCGTAATATTTTAGTATGATCTATAAGACTATGGTATCTACCGTCAAAAAAATAATAATAAAAATCGTCGAAAAAAAATTTTTAACACGTTATTACAAGAAAACGGTCCGGCCGATCTCTACCAAAAACTAATCAGCACGATTCCCAACCAATATCTTTCAAAAAATTGAATTTTCAAAATCGATTCAGAATTGCGGGCTAAAACGTGGACGAAAAATTTTTCACTTTTCTGCTATTTATAAGGAAACGGCTTGGCCGATCGTCGCAACAAAAGTGACAAACAATAATCCTCATTGAGATACATCGAATGGCTTTTAAATTTTTGAAATCAGTCCAGCCGTTTTTGAGAAAACGTCGATTTACGGCAAAAAATCTGTTCACACACACACACACACATATACTTTTTCCAAATTTAATCTCATTCGATTCAGAATGGCTTGAAACGTCGAGAAAACATAAAATTAGCAAATCGGATTTTTTGATGAAAACAAACTTCTCCTTCGCGAAGTTAATAAAGGGTTTTACCCACCAACATTTAGTGTAACAAGTAATTCTTCTTGCTGCATTTCGGATGTTTCAATATAGTCTGGCTCACTTGGTAGAGCATCTTGACTCGCTCTACTGGGCAGATTCCCAGATATAAAGGCGCGCGGACCTCGCATTAACCCCGTAACTTTCTTCAATCCCCGATTTGGAGCAGTTGGTCTACTTAAAGTCTGTACGACTTCTTTCGCCTAAAAATAATATAAGACTAACTTTTAAAGATTCTGCACTCTAAATATCTACACTGCATATTGGAATGCAATTTACACATAACTATGAAATATTTATTGTATTTATATCAATCAAAAAAAATATTTTATTCATATATTAATTTGCATAAGGCTGGGCAAAATAAATTGATTCCAATGAAAAAGAAATATATAAGTAGAGATATACAAAAATTATTATAAAAATAAAAATAACAAGCTATACAATGTAAGTTCACCTGCTTGCCAATGTGACACCTTAGCGTTACGCTTTCAAAACAAACTGCTAATAGAGAAGCACAAGTCAAATCCTGTATATTATCTAGAGCTGCGAAGGAAATCAGTTCTTCAACTACTGATGTTTGAAATATGGTAATATTTATCTGGCAACAAAATAGAAAAAGATTTCAAAATCACTTGGTTTTATATTATAAAATTCTGTTAAAAAAAGTTCAATGTAATTTTGCATGTAATTATTATATCCTTATATATATATATATATATATATATATATATATATAATTATATATATACATATATACATATATAGACATAAAATAAAAATATATATATATTTATATATATTTTATTTGAGTTTAAAAATTGGGCGTTACATTCAGTTGATGAAGGCTAAGATGCTAGTCGAAACATATGGATAAATAATATATATCAACATCAAATCCAAGACTATACAACAATATATTATGTATATGCATGTATATACATACAGATATACATGTTGGCATATAATGTACACAAATCTTGAAATAGTTAATAATTATGATTCAAAAAAGAAATAATAAATTAAAACATGATTAATTTAATAGATTCAATAATTAATAGCAGCATTATTTACTTAATATTTATTTTGCGCTTGAACTTCATCAGCATAAATCAAGCAATTAAATTAAATGATTATTCTAATAATAAGATACAAGTTTTAATTTAAAATTTTCTTAATGATACTTGAAAGAAAACTATAGAATATAGTAGAATATATGAGTAATGAAATTATAGTGATCATTATTATAGCAAAAAGACAAAAAAAAAAGCTCTAAATTTCAAAATTCATACTATCACTAGTATTTATTTAACTTTCGATTAAGAGTCGCTTGTGTGAGGTTTAGTGGCATTCAATCTATATACCTTAGGAAAAATGATAATTCCTTGAAGCTGTGTTGATATGCATTCTTCATACACATTAGTCTGAACATATTCCTCTTTTGGTCCTTTGCCACTAGTCATTTGACGTTCAGTTGTACTGTGTTTAGAATTGCTATGTACCTGTTGATAAATATAAATTTAAATATACAATAGGTAGTACTGCTCTAGGGCAGATCTGTGAGCTGAGTAAAACTCACAGTTAAAATTTTTGACAATTATCAAGTAACATTTTTTAAAAGTTAATTACAAAAACACGAGCCAGCCGATCTTTATCAAAAACTAATCAGCGCGATTCCCAACCAATATCTTTCAAACGGTTTTTGAATTTTTAAAATTCAAATTGTGGTGATTTAGAATTGTGAGTTAAAGAAAACGTGGACAAAAAATTTTACACATTTTTGGTAATTACAAAGAAATGGGTCGGCCGATTGTCACGCAGAATTGTGAACCGCTAGTCCTTCCTCATCGAGATACATTGAATGGCTTTTAAATGTTTGAAATCAGTTTGGCCGTTCTTGAGAAAACGTCGACGAAAGGTAAAAAATCGTCTCACGTACACATACACACATACATACATACATACATACACACACACTCATTCGATTCAGAATCGCTTGAAACGTCGAGATAACATAAAATAAGCAAATCGGATTTTTCTTCTTCGGAAAGTTATTAAAAATTAAGAATCGGTCACAACAAATCTTTCCAATGGAGACATTTGTATCTAGACACTCACTTCATATTGTTACACTTTATTTATATGTATTTTATATATATAAAATTAATAACAATGTGATTCAAAAATATGTATCATTCCATAAATCAAATTATTACCTGAGACCAATAACTCAATGATTCATCTTTTCTTTAATATTTAGCATCTTGTACTTTTCCTACACATGATGCATGCAAAT